GGGCGCGCCGGGGGCCTGCGAGCTGATAGCACGACAACGGGCTGCGTGCGCTTCACGTTTCGAAACCACGCTCACCGTCCTCTGCTACAGATATATTTATATACGTATACACACACACACACACACACACACACACACACACACTTGGCACATGGTAGATACCATGTCAACGAACTTTTAACACTACTGTGCCGGGCCATGTGAAAACGGCATCCTTCTTGGAAATTCGCTGGTCAGTGATTTGTGGCTCCAAGTAATGAGAACCACATTTATCTTCTTTCCGTTTTCCTTTTTTTCTTTCTTTCTTTCTTGGAAATATTAAAAAATAAAAAAGACAGGCTCCTTGAAGCAAAAGTTTCACCCGCGCGGCAGCGGCTATCGCGGCAGCCCGCCAGAGAAGGACGCGACGCCGGTCCGCTTCGTGGTGGGGCAGGACGGGCCCACGCGACGCCCCTATCCTCCGTCTTGCTGGGGCTTTGAGAGCCCAACGGAAAAGGCTCCTTTCCGGATGCTTAGATGTGCAAACCTTAACAGGGCGGCCTGACACAGCGCTCCTGCTGACAGCCCGGCGCCGGGGCAGCGGGGACAGAGACGGCCGTAACTTGTGTTAAGACCCAGCGGCCAAGGCCAGGCATCTGCCTGTCTCTGCGACACGCGTCCCCTTGCGAGGCGGTTACGGGACGGGATCAGCCGTATGCGTGTCCCGACGGCGGCCAAAGGACAGGGCGGACGCTCAGATGATGACGCAAGCGTTGAGGAGACGACATGTAGCTCCTGTTTGGCACCTCTGCGCTTCTCACGGGCTGCCCTAAAAAGCGGCAAAGCCCCTACAGCCTTTCCCCAGCCTGTTCTGGCTGTCTTTCAACACCTTTACGGGCTGTAAGAAGGCAACTTAGGAGCGTGCACCTTCACTTGCATCGCTCTAGCGCAGGAAATATTCTCTTTCACTATGTGTGGTATCCTTATTCCAGAGCGCTACAAAAAGACTGCAAAAGTTCATAGAACTTGTCACCTCTCTCGGTTCGTTTTACCTGCGCAAACAGGTTTTCTTTTTCCAAAGTGAAAGGGCGACTATCATTCTAAATCAGATAAAACAGGTGCCTCTTTCAATGGATATAGCTTTTAATTGTAGCTGTGTATGAACGCATCTTCCAAACCTGTCTTGGCTAGTCAGTCTTACCTCTCAACTTTTTAAGTCTTGTTTGCTTCTGGACAGCTTTCTTGTTAGTACAATTGTATTCAAAAAAGCTTCCGTGGAGTCTTTTTCCTGGTTTAGTCAGGACTAGCTGAACTGAGCAGTGAAGACTGCCACGTGTCCTCAACGAAAAGCCAGTACGCTATTACTGCGCTTCTTGTTTTATTGCAAAGTACACGGTCCCATTTTGGAACCAGCTGTGTGTCCCTTTCCCAGTGGCAGAATGTCCCTTAATTTAAATAGGTTTAGCTTGATTTGTGGCCTTTGGGTTACCCAAGTGTTCCCCAAGTGATTTAGCAAAAGCCCTAGAGCTCTAGGACACACAGTATCCAGAAACAGGTCTCTGATACGCTACTCCAACGAATATATCGTAAAGAGCGATAACATGGCTATAGCGGCCCACGTGTACCTACTTCAGGTTCTTATTTATCTACAGTAAATATCGTGCTGAGAACTGCTGATCTACAATGTTTGGCAGACAGCAGCACATCGTTTAAATATATATATTTAAAGCCGTATTTATCTCCAAACCAATTTGAGATTAATTTGTTGTTTCTCATGATTTTTAGCTGGTGTCTCATTTTGTGGCATTTCACCCAGAAAGCTCCCTTAACATTTTATTGCTCTATATAATATGATGCAACTAATGTAACCCATGTGGTACAACGTTACGTATCTTAGGGGTTTTTTAAGCGGATATTCAAAAACCCTTGTTAAAAGAAATTTTCATAGCAAGAAATACCTTATTGGCCTGGATGGGCTGTATCCGTCACACTTACCCTTTTACTTGAAACATGAGGTGAAACGCTGTCTTTCTGAAAATTGTGCCTAAAACCAATCTGATTTTAAGAGCAGCTTTAAAATATGCTTCCTTTCTTTTATTGGACTTACTGTTACAGCCCATAAACATTTGGGGTCAAGAGCTCACTTCCTTAAAATATGCCAAATGGGATTATTCTTGAACTTCTAAGAAGCAAATATTAGCTGGAAACGGATGTTTATTTATTTCGTATGTAGGGCATCATCGTTCTGACTGGTAACTTGTTGTTCACATAATTGGTCCCATTTGAGTCGCAGTGGGATTTTTATTGTCTGTCACACACTGCGGGTTTGTTACAGTAAATGTTAAATGACAAATGCTAATATATTCAAAAAAAAAAAAATCTTAACAAAAAAGACTCAACCTCCAAATGACCTCCCGTCCCATTCTTTCTCTGTGGCCCAGTTAAGTCCTTTCCTCCCTCAAACGACCACGGGGAAAACGAACGTGCCTTGCCACACACGCTCAGCGTCGCCAAATCTGTTGCGCAAAGGGGGACGGCGCTCTTTGGAGCAATCTCTGGCGGCGGTGCCTTGCCACCGGCTTCCTGCTCCACTAGTCTCTTAACTGGAGCGTCTGGTTTTACAGGCGGCTGTGGGGTAAAGCGCGTGCTGCGGCCTGGACAGGCTGTCGGGGCTGCTTGGGGGAACAGGCGTTCGCCGAGCGTTATGACCGCCCGTCACGTCCTGGTGTCACAATGAGGCGCGCAGGTAAAGCCGAAGAGATGACCGCGGGCCCCGAGTGATGGCGCCGGCACCTGGCAGAATCCGCTAGGTATGATGCTGGGCAAGCGGCAGGAAGGTGAAAGCAGCCGGTAAGGAAATACGGCTTATTCATATGCCTTTCTTAGAGGCCGAGGTCTGAAACGCCAGCAAGAGAGCAACATACTCACAGATGCTTTTGTCAGCCTGTTTAGAGGACATATTTGGACATTGAGGTTGCTCAAAGTTTTTACAATGCGCAAAGAACTGCCCCAAGGAAATGAAGAGCTGGCCTCCAGGATTTAGAAGTGTAACTGTGCTTGGTAGCGAAGGGTTAAAGCAGCTTCTGCCTTTCTTGAGGAGTGTGCATTTCTTTTCATTGGGGAGGCCAAGTATTTAGGGCCCTCCCACACTGGAAGCAAAATTATGCACAGCCGTGTCTAAACATGTTTGTTGCTCACAGGGTTTCAACTTTATTTCCTTGAACAGTAGCAGCAGAGACATTTTGTCTGGGAACCATGTTAGAAGAGCAGGAAAAAACACCGGTCCCATCCATTTCACAAATGCAGGCATATCTGAGGGTCCTGCTGAGCTGAAACCATGGTCATTGACTTGTTTTGCCCTCTAGCTCAGAGCTCCATCCACAAAACCTAACTGTCTCTCGTTAACCCTCGCTTCTCCATTGCCATGGGCTTTGTGACGGCGTTTACACCTGGGAACAGCCAATGAAAAAATAGATATAAAATATGCTGGTGTGGCTTCAGTAACATCTTCATGCAACTTGCAGAGAGGTAAATGATTTTCCAGTGCAGGCCCGGAAAATCAAGGTTTGTTTATTGAAAGCAGTCCTTCCACTCACAGGGTCAGGCCTGTGGTTTGGAAGATGATATAGACAAGGTCTCAGATGAAAAACAGGTTGTGCTTGTACTTTTGAAATCCTCATTATATGGTGTTCTTGTGAGGATTAGCATTCTGTACGATGTCTTCTGCTTTATATAGTTAATCTGCATTCGCCAAGTCATAGATGAAATTGTATATGAAAATTAATTTTGTTCCTAGTTGTTCTGTTTACTTTGGAGGTCACTTTGCCTTTCCTCTTTATGCAATATAAGCAAAACCCACCGGAGCAGAGCTTTGATCTACAGGCAATCACAAACCTCGTTAAAACTGACAGGCACGCTGGCCACACTTCATTCAGTAATTAAGTTCTTTTATGGTGTAAGATAGCTAAAAACTAGAACCACTGCCCAAGGCACAGGGCTACATGGCCAAGCACTAAGTCGAGCTAACTCATATGAGCAAGCACTAATTTGGGGAAAGTCAGAGAGTTTTCTCCGGGGACCGTTTGCAGACGCAGCAGCGAGAGCGCAGATTGGTTGCAGCTGTGTTTGCCTGTGTGCATGTCAGGGACCGGAAACACCAAGCAAGAGCCAGCAGACAGTGGGAGAAGCAGTGGTGCATGGCCCTGAGAAAAAGCCAAGGGACAGCTTCTTCTGGGCAAGCGTTCTGGCGAGAGCAGCAAACTTGGACTGCCGCGCCGCGCTCCCTCCCATTTGCTTCCTCTGCGTGCAAGGAAATGGGACGTGGCTGTACATTCTTTGTAAATAAATAGGATTACACTAAGGAGATAACTGAATTCATCATCAATTTTTTCCTCCTCGCAGAAAAATCTGGCAAAGCCCTGAATATTAGTTAACCGTGTGGGTCAAAGTTCTGCGCGTAAAACTACAAAGCTATTCAATACTGCTGAAATAGTTGTCAGAGACCCTGCAGATATCAAGGCAGGCTCTGAAACTCAGACCTCAAAACTGCAGCTGATCATTTCAATTGCTGATGATCCTTCATGGCTTTTTAATGCCTGGTATTTCTACAATGCATATTAAAAGTAGCTTTTATGGAACAGTAACAAGAAACCGCTTTCTCTGATCTCTCTTTTGGAGTGTTTAATATGGTCCAGATGTATCTATTGAAAAGAAGTATAGTCAAATACAATGTAGTTGTGAAACATTTATACATGTTTAAGGTGTTTGATACATGGAGCTGTTTTCGAATAGTTCCCTTATTCGTGTTATCTTGCAGTGTCTTGTTACAGAGCTGCTATCGCATCAAATCTGTTGCAGATTTATTTCCATGTTTAGGTCCCTACAGTACATAGTATATCTCAGACTGTCGCTCTGCTTTTGGGGGTATGTTCACACAAACACAGCTGCATAAAGCAGTGTTTTTTAAGAAGTCGTTATCCCGAAGGCTGGAGTTTACTGCCTGTGTGCCCTGACACCTCTGCAACGGGAGGTGAAGCCTGAACCTCCATCAGTGAGAAGTAAAAGCGGACGTGGAGCCAGGGCCTAAAACTGGAAAATTCCAGGGCAGATAACAGAGCCCTCAACGATTCTCTTTTCTTTGGTGTTAATCCTAGGAGACAGCTCCAATCTGCCGAGTCTTTGGTAGCGTGGCTTCAGAGAAGCCTTAATGATGGCAAACACGAACCCGGGGGGGAAAAAAAAAACTTCTAACTCCAGCTCCTTTTATCCAGCAGTTTTGTGGTAGATACCTTCCAGCACAAGACAGAGGGTGGCTGGGCCTGGAACGAGCAGCTGGTGAGGCCAGAGGGCAAGACCAGGTTACTTCTGGCAGCAGCATCGGCAATGGCTGGCTGGAAGCATTTGCCAAATTAACGGCCGGTGGGGGCAGTTCTATTTTACGTGGCCGTGTGTGCAGGCTGCCACCAAAAAGGCACTTTCTCCGGCTGCCTTACGCTGGCGTCAGCATTTGTGTGGCAGCAGGATCAGCTGGCCTTCTGAAAACTTTTTTTTTTAAACTGGATTAGCTTTCAGCTCCGTTGGCAAGTGGATGTAACATAACATGTGACTGGGTGACTGTCAGAGCCAACAGAGAGGAGGCATCAGGAAAGCATGACTAAGGGAGGGGAAAAGGATGATACTACTCTTTTGGTGGTAGCCCACACATAGTCTCAGGTTGGCTTAAGCCTACAGTGAATCTACCTCTCTGGGTAAAATTACCTGTCATGGCTTGAGTCAGTCTAATGACTTCTTTCCATAGAAAGGGGAAAATCTTGTTCCTCTTTTCCATGTTAGCTCTGGAGACTGTCCCTTCTTGTACTGACCTGGTTTAGCTCATTAAACCAGCAGAAAACTAACCCAGGCAAGGAAAAGGGAATAGCGTTCTGCTGGCGTAGCGAGTTGAACCAGTGCAGTAAAGCATCCGACGAGTGGCAGAGCTGGTACAAGGGCGGAGAGTAGCCCCAGGGAGCCATGAGGTTGACTGAACCGCAAGATATAGCTTCAGCGTTGGAAGTCCCTTGTCCTAACACTTAATAGAAGAACCACAATCTAGGCTCTCTCAGTAGTTTAACCACGACAATAGGCCTTATCGCTGTATCTTAACACAAATACAGATGTGTTTGCCTTATAAAATTGTAGTTGTCACTTTTTTATAATTCTTCCCAACTCTATGTATTTTGGACCCTCCCAAGGGTGACATTTAACCTAACGCTTCATTTCCACCTGGGACTCTCTGTTGAGCCTGTATTTCCCTTGTTTTGGTTTCTTTATTAGATAGGGAAATATTGCCACAGATCTTCTGATGCTCTCTTTTTCATCAGCCAGAACCTTTCTCCGAAACGTCAACGTATGGTCTCTGATGATGCTTCAGGAAGACACTCCGCACTTTCAGGTGGGTTAGTACAAGCTCATAAGCAAACTGCTATTGAAAAAACTGTATAAACAACAAAAAGTTTATATGCAGAAAGACAGACTATGCTTGTGCAAAAAAGTTGGTTTTGTACAGCTTCTAGGCTCTATTACATATTTTAAATGTGTTTTAGAAATAATCACTCAGACAGGGGAAGTAAATTGCCCGAGTTATATTTGATCATGCTCAGGGTAGCTATGGCACAGTCAACTAGCAGAGCACTGTCTCTCTATGCATCAAACACAGAAATCCTGTGGTTGCACAGGGGATGATATGGTAGCTGCTGTGTTTGTTCTGAGATTTCAGCTTTCAGTTTTGACAGAAGAAAGCCCAGGCAAGGACAGGACAAGAAAATTTGCAGAGGGTCCCAGTGTAGAGAAGATATCCCAGGCAGCCAGTTCTCCACTCCTACGCCCACACAGCTCCCTCTTTCTTTATAAGGTGGCGGTCCAGAGCAGGATAAGGGAAATACGCTAATGTCAGCCAAAAGGATTACTGGAGGATAAAATGCACTCTAAAAATATATCAGGAAAAAAAGTGACACAAGAAATACATCAACTTAGACCATGTAAAATGCCAGGTTGTTGTTAAAATCTTTAACCACAAAATTACAGGGAAAAGATTAGTAAAACTAGGAAAATTGTCATATAAAAATGGCTGTTGGGAAAGCGTACACCAGGGACACTTGGAAACTGTAAACGTGCAAGCATGGGGATATCACTTCAACACAATTGTGGTAGCAGAGGAATGGGTTAAACTTCCACTTTCAGAAACTACCTGCAATTATTTGTTCTAAAAACTGCAAAGACACCGAACAATCAACAAGAAACAAACGTGCCGCTAAAGGGCACCGGGAAAAGGAGAGTGATCTTGGTTGCTGTTGCGTAGCAATTCAAACTTCTGCAACCATCCTGCAAAAAATAAGGGATCAAATGCACAAGCGCGTGAGCACTCTGAACAGGGGTTTGAAGCATACTTGTTACTGGTGAAACTGTTCCTCTCGAATCCGCCTGAGAGGACAGCTCAGGTGACAGCGGTGGGAGGGAAGGAGGGGAAGGCGAGGAAGAGGTAGGGGGAAGGTGGAAGGATCTGCCTCTTTTGGCAGCAGTATACAGGGAACAGCAGCCTCAGGGTGTTGTGGAATGACTGAAAAAAATCCGAATTCCTAAACAACTGGAAGAAAGCTGCCAGACGATCTCATCTGACAGAGGCGCAGCCTAGCCTGCAAACTGGACTTGTGTGAGTAGTCCTCGACAGGCGTAATCCCATGTGCCCGATGAACGCTGTGACTGCAGCGGATGAATGAAGTGTGAGTGAAGAGTAAGGGAATGAAAAGAATGCAGGAAGCAGAAGTACATCGGTTTTGGAGCAGCTTTTGATGCAGCGTTTCACCAATTCCGACTCGTAAATAAGTTCATTTTGGCTTGGATGCGAGAGCTGTTATGTTGACTGCAAACTCGCAGAAGGGCTGCAAAGGGATAAAATTCGCACAGCTCCTCTACAGTCTCCCCGCATCCCGGCTCCAGTTTCGCAGATCCTCCCCGACAGGTGCGGGACCCCCTCCTGCCGCCACCCCGGCGTTTCATCGCCGGGACATCGGAGCCGTTTAACAGGCCACCTTTACCCGTCCTTAGCCGAGCCCTCTCTTAACAAGATTCACCAGCAGAAAATAATACAGACGGTATGTTAAAGCAAACAGGAAGGGGTCTCCATCGTCTTAAACGGCGCACGCCAGAGAATTTCAGGGCAAGGTTTTTTTTGTTCCCTCTCCTCCCCCCCTATTTTTTAATCAGTGCCCCCAGGAAAAGGAGGACGCTTCGGGCCGCCTCGCCCCCGAGCAGGTCTCCCGAGCCAGGCCGCGCGGCTGGCCAGCCCCCTGCACGTTAAGCGGCGGTCGGCGCCCAACGCGGCGGGAAGGAGGGGACGACAGAGACCCTGAGGCGAGGCGAGGCGAGGCGAGGTGAGGGGT